TAAAAACATTTAGATCTACACCATGCTGGAGAGAAGGAAGGCAGGTAGAAAAACGCATCTCTATCCACAGCCTGAAATACTTAACTAAGCATACTTAATCAAGCTTCTGAGCAGCAACTTCAGAAAAGGAATTCCAGAAGCCAGGGTCACTGAATAGCACTGACTTTGGTTCTGAGAGTTGAGCTTCATGTTTCACAGGACGAGTTATGAAATGACTACAGCATCGAGGATCAAAGGTGGGTAGGGCCCTGCCTGTGCAACAATGTGTGGGCGATCTATAACATGGCAAAGAGATTTTATGTTAGCATGATTGGGGAACAATGGATGGGAAGGGCAGAGGTCGTGATTTGGAAGCCCACACAGGCCTCCGTTGTGTATATGCTAGGCTGAGCTCCGATCGCCGATCAGCTGTGAAGACTATTGCCCAGGGAAGCAAGTAGGGGGAAAAATCAAACTTTAAAACTACGTTCAGGCTTACCTATAGTGTAAAAGGCAGATCCTGGACTAGATTTGACAGCTGTGCCTGTAACCCAGACACCAAATATTTGGAAAAAGGATAGGAAAGATACCATTTCCATGCACGTTTATGAAAAAGGGAGCGGAGTGGTGGTCTGGGGTCTCTTTACCTCAGAGGGGAGAATGGGCCTGGGGCTCAGAGTGGGGACTCACAGATCACAGTGGAGACAGGCACACGTTTTCAATGAGGCAACAAGCTTATCAGTAAGCCCCAGAAAGCTACCCTTGCCACGGAGTCCATCCCAACGCCGCACATTGGAGAAATACAGCTACTCAGAGGTTGCTGAGCCAGAGGGTATAGAGACATGGCCACTATAACATCCTAGGGGGGTACCTTCTGACAAATTCTTAAATTTTATTCTCTCCTTAACCACCATGGTACCTCAGCATTCTTTAGAAAGAAAAGAGATGGAATAGGTCACTGATGACTAAATCTTCCTTTAAAGCTGTTAGAATGTAGAACTGTGGGCGGAGGCAGGGTTCCATGGAATGTAACATCACGTGTGATCTGATCATAAATTCCTAATTGGGCGGATCCCGGTGGGTAGTCACGCCCCAGGCATATAACTTCTTTAGTAAAAGGCTTGTCTTTTTTTTTTAAATATATTTTATTGATTTTACACAGAGAGGAATTGAGAGGGACAGAGAGTTAGAAACGTCGATGAGAGAGAAACAACGACCAGCTGCCTCTTGCACCCCTCCCTCCCCCCCACTGGGGATGTGCCCGCGACAGGAATCGAACCTGGGACCTTTCAGTCTGCAAGCCGATGCTCTATCCACTGAGCCAAACCAGTCCCGGCTAAAAGGCTTGTCTTTGCCTAAAGCAAGCTCTGTCCGTTGTTTCTATGCATAGGTTAACACACCTTTGAAGGAAGCATACTGCCCTCCAGAGAGCACAGACTCTCCCGGTGGGGAAGGCACCGCCTCCTGAGGCCCCTCCAGCCCCTCCTCAGAGCTGCTCTGGGTGAGTTTGCGCACCTTTTATTCAAGGTCACCGCACAGCGAACTATGTGATGTTGTGAGCTGCTGTGTACCTCCTAGAATGGTTATAATGGAAAGCAAATTCCGGTAATACTGAGCGCTGGTGCAGCCACGGAAACTCTCATCCTTCGCTGGAGGGCCTGACAAGTAAACGGTGCAGCCATTTACCACGTGTCTTTTAAAGTTATACGCACACTTACCACGCGACCCAGCAATTCCACTCATAGGTGCGTACCCCGAGGCGATGAACATTGAGGCTCACACACAAGTCCGTACGTGAATGCTGACAGCAGCCTTATTAATGATTGCCAAACACTAGAAACAACCCCAATGCCCTTCAGTGGGTGAACGGATAAGCATCACCCAGCGGAGTACTGTTTGTGGAGGAACTCATGCGTAAATCTCAAAAGCCATGATGCTGTGTGAAAGAGCCGGTCTCAAAGGACTATATACTATACCTGTGGTCGGCAAACTGCGGCTGAGAGCCACATGAGGCTCTTTGGCCTTTTGAGTGTGGCTCTTCCACAAAATCCCACGGCCTGGGTGAGTCTATTTTGAAGAAGTGGCGTTAGAAGAAGTTTAAGTTTTAAAAAGTGTGGCTCTCAAAAGAAATGTCAATCGTTGTGCTGTTGACGAATGAGTTTGCCGACCACTGTCCTATACAAGAGACTTACTTAACATTTTCCAAAAGACAAATGGGTGGAGAATAGCTCACGGGTTGCCTGGGGGTGGGGATGGAGGTGGAGGGTGCGGGTGACTACAAAGGGATTAGTACAAGGGAGTTAGGGGACGATGGGACTGTTCGGAGTCCTGATTTGTGTGGTGGATACGGGAATCCACGTGTTAAGTCCCACGGATTTGTACTCCCCCCCCCTCCCCAACATCAAGTTGACTGTATGATAATTGACAATGTCACAGCACCGGCAGGTGGGCGTGAGGAGGGCAGTGACTGACAAGGTGTCATGGGTGCAGTCTGCTATGTAAAGAGGGTAAGGGACACTCTCAGTCACGGGGCACTGCCTGGCAATTCTCCGAAAAGACATAACAATTGTGATCAGTAACATTTCTTTTCCCGGGAATTTTGTATTCAAGGTCTCTTACAACAGCTTTAAGGGAGGACATTTAGGCTTAGAGAGGGTAAAGGATTTACCCTGATGTTGATCTCGGTTCTGGTTCTGTCTGGTTCCCCAGGGGCGACAGCCACGGTGTGGATTAAGCTGTGATTCCTCCCTCCCTTTTCCACGCTGCCCCTTCAGCAGTCCCCTTAACCCTCTGTGCTCTTTCCCAGTCCCACGCAGTGACTGGGGAAGAGAGGCTGTTTTGCCCTCAGGAGACATAGGGCCCTGTCTGGAGACATCTTTGGCTGTCACAGCGGGAAGGGACAATGTCACCGGCATCTGGTAGGTAGAAACCAGAGGTGCCACTAAGCAGCCTACAGTGTCCGGGACGGCCCCATGGAAAAGTAATGACCCAGCCCACACGTCACCAGGCAGATGCTCAAACCTCTTGGTTTACTCGCAGTGTTTCCCAAACTTTTGACATATGTGCACCCCTTCTATAATTTCCGTAACGCTGAGTACCCCTCCTACTCATGAGAACGTAGAATTAGGCGCAGCTAAGCACGGTGCAGTGCATATCCCCACCAAACGCCGGTGCAACACGTACCCCCACCAAACTCTTCCCGTGCCCCTGGGGGTACGCGTACCACACTTTGGGAAACACTGGTTTAAAGGAATGAAGAGAGGAAATATGTGTGAGCCAGGCGCGGTGCTATAGGCAGTTTTTAAATGCTATATATTGTCAAGTTTCTTTTGAGGGAAGTATTATTACCCCCAGTCTACAGTTAAGAAGGTGGTTGCTCAGACCCATAGACCGACGTGGCCAAACCCCAGTGAGGAGACAAGAAGCTGCGGCCGCCTCAGGCCGCGGTGAGGACAAAGCCCAGAGTTCCCACAGTGTGGTGCTGGGGTGGGCTGGGCCCTCCTCACCTCCATCTCCTCTCAGCCCTGAGAGGTCTGCAGACCAGGGGAGCTGCCGGGCTGGCGGGAGGGGCGTGTGGCCTCCAGAGGCTCTCAGGAAAGGCGTGGGCATCACTCCGAACCTCCCAGGGCTGGTGCTCCCCAGTGTCCTTCTGCATCACCATCCCTCCGCCCTCCGGGCACTCAAATCTCTCCTCTCTCCAAAGAGCCCAGAGACATCCCCAGCCAGCTGCTCCAGGACAGCGTCCTCTCTTCTCCCCGCAGCCGGTGCTGTGGGACTTGGGCACCCGGACAGCAGCCGAGGACGGGCGCCAGAACCAGGACAGCCGGCTCTGATCCACGTCCCAGGGGCAGGGTGGGCCTCAGACACCAAGCAAACTGCTTTCAAAACAAGTTTCCCAATCACCTCTGAGCAATTCTGGTTCAAGTTTACCCTTTCCTGTAATGCGTACCGGCTGTTCCAACAGCTGAAAATGTGTGTGTGTGTGTAAGACAGAGGGAGGAGGGAGAGACAGAGCAGAAGCAAGGGGGGAAAGAGAATGAAAAAAGAAGTAGAGAAGGACATAGAAGTAGAGAAGGACATTTTTTTCTCTCTTCATTTCCAAGCAATTTATTAAGCAGTCAGATAAGATAGCAGGAAAACAAAAACACTCGAGAAGCTTACTAAGGTTACTGAGTGGCATTCAATGTGTAATTGAGTTTTGTGGTCATGAAGCAAAGCAAGAACCAGTCAACACAGCGTTATTTTCCAGCAATAATTAGCTGCTCGATTTGAAGTGCGAAGGAGGTGGAGAATCGGTTTAATTAAGATTTTCAGGCTTGCTAGAGAAGTGAACCATTGGGAAGAGGGCCTTTAAACTTTATGGCATGTGCAAAAGAGGGATGTAGTGATGAACCATGAGCTCAAAATGAGAATATGATAAAGGGCCTGAAAATGTGATAGGACCAAAGGATTAGCGTCCTTGTTGAGGCTGGAGAATTGTTGGAGTGGAGGTTCTAGAGAAAGGGAGGTAGAGGACAGGAGGTCATGGTCACATAATGAGGTACTGAAGGTGATTTTCAGGGACCATGCATCTAGGGATAATGAAAAGTTCATGTTGTTATGCTGGTCAGTAGGTTAGGTGGGATAAAAGAAAGTAATGGACGTGAAGGGGTAGAGAAACTGAGACTCTGAAGTGCAAGGTGGATCATCCCTGTGGGTGTGGAAATCTCCAAAAACAGAATGGAAAGGCGAGATTTTGATGAGTGAACCATTACATGTCCTTAAGAAGGACATTTGTTCATACGTAAAAGCTTAACATAAAACTCAAAGAGCAGATAACCTCATCATAAGCAAAGAACCCTAAGACTGGGGAACACTTGCAAATCAGGCGGGAAGACATGAATGGTTTTCAAAATTACTTTAAATGCCGCTAAGCAGGCCACACATCCTAGTCACTCCTCCAACCTGGCAAAGCAGAGTCCCTTCTTGACCGGGCTGGGCACGGCCCCCCTTCCTCCCTGCGCCCCGCCGAGGGCACTCACAGCTCCAGGATCAGGATGACGTCCGTCTTGCTCTCGTACACCTCGTGCAGGGTGATGACGTTGGGGTGCTGGATCTCCTTCAGGATGCTGACCTCGCGCTCGATGTCCTCGCGGCTCACGCCCCGCCGGCTGGACTTGGTCCTCCGCTTCTTGATGAACTTGGCGGCATACTGCAGGCCCGTGCTCTTCTCCCGGCATTTCTTCACCACGGCGAACTGCCCGCTGAGGAGGGGACGGGAGGACAGGAGTCACTCACACATGCTTTTTGTTCATTAAAATACAAGATTCGAGCTGAAACCGGTTTGGCTCTGTGGATAGAGCATCGGTCTGTGGACTGAAGGGTCCTGGGTTCGATTCCGGTCAAGGGCATGTGCATTGGTTGCGGGCACATCCCCAGTGGGGGGTGTGTGTGGAAGGCAGCTGGTCGATGTTTCTCTCTCGTTGTTTCTAGCTCTCTATCTCCCTCCCTTTCTCTCTGTAAAAAAATCAATATAAATATATTTTTTAAAAAAATACAAGATTCAAGCAAGGATGTGCCAAGGGTGGGGACAGGGTGGGGAGGGGTGGAACACGATGGAATTGTGAGTAGAAAAGTCCAAATTGTGAGCAATTAACACAGTAAGGAGGGCTAGTTCTTAGTCTATTTCGGTTTTAGGAAGCCAGTTTCTTTATGAACGAGGGCTAAAAATTATTTTCTTGAGTTTTGCTTTGTTGAATCGGTAATGATGCCTCCACTTGTGTGCTGGCCTCCTCTCCCATTTCCGACCCGGGGACTGCGGGAAGGAGCTCCTGGATCAGACCTCACTCCCACAAGCCCTTTTCCTTGTGTGTTTAGGAAAACAGGAGAGGGAGATGAGGGAATTGGTAGGAAAATGTGTAGAGCCCTGACTCTGATGACATATTTCTAGCACTGACGGTTATCAACTGAAACGCCAGAAGAAAAATAAGCTACGGTTTTTGTTTTGTTTTTTCATACTTTGGGAATTGGTGAGCCCCATGGACTAGACATCTGCCGGCTTCTTCTCCACTACCCTCCTCTTCCTTTCCCAGTACCTTTATCTGGGGATTGTTGTGGTTCTAGGAAGCTGCCTCCATCCACAGGTATAGATACAGATCATGTGACCTGGGCTAGGCCAATCAGTGCACCATATTCTCCTGGCTCCAGTGATAGGCCCAGGAGCTAAGTAAGTCCTTCCAGAGAATGTTTAGACAGAGACTTTTTCTGAGACTTTCTGATCCCCCAAAACTGCTGGCAGACACCTTGGAACCATACGAAGAGCCACTCTTGGTTTAAAGCTAATCACATTGCAGAGACAGAGCCAGTAGAATGAATAAGACTAGGTCTGTGGTAACACTGGGAATGGCTAGATCAACCCTAGATGGAGACCACCCGCCTTTGGAAATTTCAGCAACATAGGCCAATAAATTCTCTTTACTGCTAAATGTTTTGTGTTTTCTATTTCTTACAGAGGAAAGTATCCTATTCATCCAGTGCCACAGCAAATAACCAGAGCCTCCTGTGCATACATAAAGGAATATCTATATATCTATATCTATATCTATATCTATATCTATCTATCTATATAAAAGCCTAAGTGACCATTACAACCGGTTGCTATGACAGCACTGACCACCGGGGGTAAACGCTCGATGCAGGAGCTGCCCCATTCGTGGTCAGTGTGCTCTCACAGCCTATCTCACAGCCTACCTCCTGTGGCCAGCCTACCTCCCGTGGCACCTCCCTACCACCCTCCGGCCCCCCTCCCTGCTGGCTGGCCCCATGCACGAATTCGTGCACTGGGCCTCTAGTTATAAAATAACTTGACATAATAAAAGGTTAAGACATAGTAGGCTACCCAGAATATAAGTGAAACAACAGAAAGATGCTTCCTGTAATGACCCTCACGTCTTCCCTAGTGCCCGTGGCAGGGTCGGTCCTCCCATCACAGGACCTGTCCGTTTCTTGGCACCCACTGGGGAGCTGCTATGCAGAGCATTATCACAGGTATTTTTCGCTAGTTTCACTTCCCTCACATGAAGACAAAAAGGGGAGAGAAAATCAAATAACTGTAATATCTTGATGCTAAAGAAGGGATATTTTAAAATGTTACTCATTTACTTGAGCAGCAGAAGGCCAGAGAAGAAAAAAAAAAAAAAAAAAAATATATATATATATATATATATATATATATATATATATATATAGTGAAGGATTATTTTTATGGCAGTATCAAATTTTCTGCATGACAGGTAATTAATGCCCTCTTTCCCCCTGCAGCAGGAGAGCAGAGAAGTTGGAGGATAAATCACACCGGAATGCTTGCACCGATCATCTGTAAACTCACGACCTTAAAGAGCCAGGGGGTCTGTTATTTGACTTTATTACAACCATTTTCTAATTTCTCTGGGGAGGGAAGTTCTGGGCTTTCTACCTATTGAGGGGTCGGGGGTGTGCTGCAGAGATGGAGAAAAGTAGGAACTCAGCCCTCCTTCTCACAGAGACCGCATCACGTCCCCCCCAGAGGGCTCTCAGGGGACCCCGGCACAGAGAGGAGGCAGAGTGCACCTCACAGGCAGGACCTCCAAACCAGAACCATCTGTGCTTGGGGGCGAGGGTGGTGGGCTGTGACGCCTCCCACAGGCTACAGGCACCTACAGGCACCGTGACTTATCTCAGGGGCTGTCATGACTCCAGGCAGACTGTGGTTTGAATGACTTTGCGTTAAAAAAACACCAAAAGTGCCAAAAATAAAATAAAATAAAATAAAATAAAATAAAATAAAATAAAATAAAATAAAATTTGCAGGCAAACCACAAAGAATTTAAATACAAGCCTAAACTTAAAGACTATCTGAGTGTGTTTTCATTGCCAAATGATCCATTGTTGACTGTTTCCCCCCTTTTAACTCTGTAAGATTCACATCATCTTCATTTCTTTTGCCAATGAGAAAGCCAAGCTTCGGAGGGATTTTTTTAAAAAAAATATATTTTATTGATTTTTTACAGAGAGGAAGAGAGAGGGATAGAGAGTTAGAAACATCGATGAGAATCATCGATCAGCTGCCCCCTGCACATTCCCTACTGGGGATGTGCCCACAACAACGTACATGCCCTTGACTGGAATCGAACCCGGGACCTTCCAGTCCGCAGGCCGACATTCTACCATTGAGCCAAACCGGTTTCGGCCAGAGGGATGTTTTAAAAATAGGTCTAAATCCTTGTATACATGCATATAAGTACAACCAATGGACATAAAACTCTGGGGAGGGAGGGTATGTATGGGAGGGAGGGAGGGAGGCAAGAAAAAAAAATCAATAAAATATATTAAAAAAAAAAAAAAAGAAGAAGAAGAAGAAGGGAAAGGAGAGGGAGGCAGAGTGACCAGGAGGACAGGTGCGGTGACATTGATCATCTGAAAGTCATAAGAGCAGCGGGTTGCCCTCATTGCTTCCTTTGAGGATCATCAAGAAAAGAGTAAAGAGAATAAAAGACTTGCTTGCAAAAAAAAAAAAAAAAAAAAAAAAGTCTAAATCATTCAGCAAGTAAGTTTGCATAATTCAGAAATAACTTCAAACCCAAGTGTAGTATTCGCTCCAAAGCTCTGGTCATTGAGCCAGGCTGCTATGCTGGGCTCGTGTCCATTTTGTTTGAGATATAAGCCATCCCCCTCTGAAGTTGCAGGACTTCATTCTAGGAAAGAGCTTTCTGGGGGGGCTGGGGGAAGGCAAAGAGAAGAGGTTTGTGGCTAAAACGTTTGGGCAAGGTAGCCTTCTTCTCGCCACCGAAAACTCATCAAGTGTTTGAATTAACGAAGCCATTGCTTGAGTATCCTTGTAGGTTCTCTGCCATAAGAGGTAAACCACATTTCGTGTGTGCTTAGGAAGCACGATATTAACAATTAGAAAGAACCACAGAAGCGTCTCAAGGTCAGGTGGCAAGCGATTGGTGAAGCATCTGTGTGTTGGAGGTCTTATGTATCTCATAGTGCGTTAAAAATGAACCTGTCAGCCCTAGCTGATTTGGTTCAGCGGACAGAGCACCAGCCTTCGGATTGAAGAGTCCCAGGTTCGATTCCAGCCAAGGGCACATGCCTATGTTTGCGGGCTCGATCCCTTGTGGGGGACGTGAAGGAGGCAGCTGATCAATGATTCTCTCTCATCATTGATGTTTGTATTTCTCTCTCCCTCGCCCTTCCTCTCTGAAATCAATAAAAAATATTTTTTAAAAATAACAACAACAGCAACAACAAACACCTGTCAAACTCTGTTTCATCCATTCAGGCTTTATTTTCAAATTCATTTCTTTGTGGGAGTTTTGCTTTCACTTTGGGAAAGATGGGGAGGACCAGAAAGTCAAAGAAGTTGCATTCAGGATGCAGGAAGAGCAAGTTGTCTGGGAGCAATTATTTTTTTCTGCCCGTGGGTTGGTGCCTAACCTAGGCTCTACCAGTTTCACTGCTGACTTTGATCCAGACACCATGTTAGTACAGGCTCTCACCCAGGAGTGCAGATTTAGAAAACACATAACAAAATAGCATATAATTTTTTGGGAGAATCGAAAGCATGCATCCACCCAGTACATATAACAGTTAAAAATTATTTATGGGAACTATGTGTTATCGTGCATTCCCTACATTAATGCTAGAAACAGATCTGGCTTAAATCAAAACAGCTCAATAAGTTTCAACTCTACCCTCCTTCCAAGTCTTAGCAAGAAGGTTTCTAATTAACACAAAATAACTTTTACTTCTGAATTCACATGCCAACCCCCTGGCACAATGACAGTGCTGGCTTAGGAGCCAACTACTGTATTTTTCCTGAAGAGCCGTGCTGACAGAGTGGCAGCAGCTGGGATCCTGGTAGAAAACTGAACATACAGGTCTTAAATAAGAGGTGATTTTTCAAGGATGAGTTAACTTGGGTAATAATTCACATTTATGGCAGAGGAAAGACCCTAAAGAGTTTGTAGACTAATGGGAGAGACAAGCATGTACCACTAGAATGCTGGATGGGCCATAAAAAGGACGTGGCCACTGGGCCGCTTGGGGAGAGAGAGTAAGGTCAGGAGATCTAGGCTGCATCTCTCTCTTTCTTTTTCTTTTTTTCTTTCTTTCTTTTTTTCTTTCTTTCTTTCTTTTTTTTTCTTTCTTAAATTTCTTTATTTATTAAGGTATCACATATTTGTCTTCATGCCCCCATTCCCCCCCAAAACCCTTCCCCACG